CAGTTGAACAGATCGCTATGTAAGCCCCCTAAAGGTCAGCGAGGTATATGACAATGTTGTTAGAAGTTTCAGACAAAACGTCCTGCATCTATGGTAGGGGACGCTCACCGATCGTTCTTACGGAACTCACTCGTTCCGTTGTGCCTTACTGGCTCTCTCACTCGAGCCCAACCAGCAGCCGCACAGCGGCGCATGATATATGGGCAGAATGGTATTACCGACAACGACAAGGAAGACTGGAGTGGCCATTTCTGGCTTTTTAGCCCTCGTCAGCCAGTCATACCCAACTTCGAAGTGCGACGCACCCGAGGCTCGAACTCGCGACCTGTTTGTTAGAAGTCCACGCCTCTAACCACTGAGCCACGAGCCCGTTTCCCTGTCGGTTTTCGATCGGGAATGTATAATGGTAGGGGGCGCTCATCGATCGTTCTTACGGAACTCACTCGTTCTGTTGTGCCTTATGGACTCTCTCTCTCGAGCCCAACCAGCAGCCACACAGTGGTTACAAGAATAGGGGAAATTTGTCAGAAAGTGTCTCAATTCTAAAGAAGAAGACCTGTGGGATGTCACAATAAAATTTTGTGACTGCTTAAGTTCATTGTGTACCGGAAAGATAAGATAAACTATTTGTTATGATCCTGTCTGGTACACAGAAGTCACGCGAAGCGTATGCGTACTCGGTTGTTATCCCCAGTACCAACACGGCAGACAAGGGAAACACGACCAGCCACGGGAAAGTTTATTAGAAATCTGCAAGTCGTTCTTACTGGAGAAATAACGTGTATTGGCCTGCATTCGGTCCAATGCGGTTCGGGAATAAAATTCCAGACGAGCTGATCGATTTCTCGCACACACTGGCTAATCAGGTTCCAGGGGAGCAGCCAACGACGAGGCGTTACCATCCTGCTGACAGCGTGCTAGAGAGGGCACACGTGGCCACCAATGATTGGCTGGCCCCTGTTTGTGGGAGTGTAGACACTCCCAACACTATTCGAGTACATTGCGACTAATAAACGCTCTTGAATCTACTCATGAGAACCGGTTATCACCACTGAGCCAGGGGTTAGGACGTTGGACTTCTAACCGACAGGTCGCGAGTTCGAGCCCCAGGGGCTTCACGCCTCGGGGTTGGGTGTGGCTGGCTGACTACGGCTAAAAGGCCAGAAATTGCCACTCTGGCTTCCCCTGTCTCTGTCGGTAACGCTACTCGACATATATTACGCGCCGCTGTGTGGCTGCTGACGGGGCTCGAGAGAGGGAGTCCCAAGGTATAACGGGGCGAGTGAGTTTCTCAACGTGATCGCTGAGCGTCCCTCTGCTACTATACTATCGACTCCTCCCTCCGAATAAACTGATTACATGCAGAAAGTCATCCACATCACCGGAATTTATCGAGTAAATGCCTATGCTTACCCCTGATAGACTGGCGCCTTCGGATAGGAGTCTTTAGTCTATAACGCCCACAAACAGTACCCAGTCCAGTGTCCGCCGGCGTATAACACGCAACCAACCGTAAAATTAGTAACCAATAGTCAACTGAGTCCGGACGTTGGCGTCAGATTCACCTGTCAGTTGGAAAGAGCTGGACGACGGAATTTTGGTCTGTGGCGGTTGCGCTGGCGTCGAGACTCAGGTTCGCTGTCACTGCGTGGCAGTCAACGCAGACCGTGTGACACGAAAAATTTAACCGTAAATCTGACGGTTTAAAATTAGGACACCCGGTCGAAAGATAAACATACTTAAAGCACACTCAGATCTTGCAGTGGTGACTGTATATCTGAGACCAAGCGATAAATTGGTAAAAATGGCTTTAAATTTAGAAGACATCGATCACGTGGCCCAGCTACCTACAGAGTTACGGTTTGGTATCATTAAGAGCTTGGTGACTGAAAAAACCTCTGGCTTGCACTTCGGAAGAACGAGCGTATTCCGCGAACCACTTTTGTGGTAGCGACGACTTTGGTGTGAAATGTTGGATCCCAGGTCTTGCACCAAACTAAATCACTCACCTGTCAAATGCATTCTTACCCATCGTCGGCCGCAACAGTCTCGGATGTGGGCGGACACCTGAGTCCAGAAGACGGAATTAGCAAGCAGCGGACTAAACCGCGAAGGCCCTGGGATGCCCGATTTATATTTCAGACCGAGAACACTAAGCTATACGAGTTTTCTAGTTCCACCAGTCTGTCCCAAGGAGCGTTCTATCCGGAAGAGAAAATACCTCCGACATTAGGCGCCATATTGACACTGCAGACTGCTGAGGAAGGAGACACTATCGCTGGGACAAGAGCTTTATTAACATGACATTTTGGATTTCTGCTCGAACCCATTATCAGAGACAAAAGCAGACACGGGTGGTTCATGCACAAGGGGCTGCAGTATTTATAGGATGCAGTCGCTATGCTACCGCCTACCTATGAACATTCACGGCTCCCCCCTTCATCCGGGATCGTCGCACGTTGTGTGCTAGTTGTTTGATAGCCGACAATCGCGTCGTTAATTGCTGCAATTTCACCACGTGCGTTGGATGTTGGTGTAATGGTTGCTCGACCATCTGACGCACCGATCCTGGTGTTGGGAAAAGTGTTCACCTGTGCGCTCTCCGCGTGGCTAATTACTCCGCCTAGGCGAAGTCTCAGCACCGCGTATGGAAGGGGAAGATCAGGTGCTGACATTCAAAGAACATCTCAACGCCGTCTTCCCGGACATTCAATTTACGATGGCGGAGGAAGAGAACAACCAGCTGGCCTTTCTGGATATCCTCGTATGTCGCAAAGATTGCGGTGGAATAAAGGCCAAAATGTTCAGGAAAGCGACAAATACGATGCAAGTACTGAACTTCAACAGCAACCACCCAATCAGCCACAAACACAGTTGTTTAAGGACGCTCTATCGGCGTGTCGAAACGCACTGCAGTGAGCCGGAAGACAGGACTGCCGAACTACAATACCACCGAGAGGTCTTCAAAGCCAATGGCTACCCGCGCAACTTCGTCGACCGGTGCATACGCAAAAGGGACGAAAGGCCTAACCGCATGGACACCAAATCTTGGCAGGCGATTCTGTATGTCAAAAACGTTTCGGAAGCTGTCGGCCGCCTTCTCGCACCACTTGGGGTTGGAGTTGCACACAGACCGGAGGTAACCATCAGGCATCTGGTAATGAAACCAGACTTCACCTAGGCGGAGTAATTAGCCACGCGGGGAGCCCACAGGTGAACACTTTTCCCAACACCGGGGTCGGTGCGTCAGATGGTCAAGCAATCATTACACCAACATCCAACGCACGTGATGAAATTGCAGCAATTAACGACGCGAATGTCGGCCATCAAACAACTAGCACACAACGTGCGACGATCTCGGATGAAGGCGGGAGCCGCGAATGTTCATAGGCATACAGTAGCATAGTGACTGCATCCTGTAAATACTGCAGCCCCTTGTGCATGAACCACCCGTGTCTGCTTTTGTCTCTGATGATGGGTTCGAGCAGGAATCCGAAACGTCAGGTTAACAAAGCTCTTGTCCCAGCGACCATGTCTCCTTCTTCAAGACTACTTCCTGGAACTCGTCTCTTCGCTTCTATTGGCACTGCAGACTGTGTCTACACTAAACGCAGCGGCTAGATCACACGAGTCACCCAGATCAAACAGGGCCGACGTGTATGTCAGTCAAGGACGCAACCCAGAGGGAAATTCGAATCTACGTCCCGAGGGCAAGAAATTGCTCATGTCGGACAGGCCCGCTCAGATAAGCCTTGAAGGTCGAAGTACTCATATGCTGATTTACTACGCAGCTGGCTTGTGCGT